ACTTTTCAAAAAGCTAGTTTAAACTCGAACACGGGAATGGACTCCGAGTGAAAGTTGCCGAACTTTCCAAACGGAGAATGTCACAGTCACCCACAAACAAAAGCAAAAAATACATAGTAATTGTAATGTAATGATGCTATTTCACGCATTTTTTGCGTATCCGCAGAATCCTGTTATTAACTTTAATGTAGGCCTGAAAGTGACGGACATGCGAAACCGCTGACAAAGTACCCACCCATTTTAAGCAGATGTTTACCAGCTTTTTATCATCCTGGTTTTAGGCCATGCTGGGGTTTACGGTACTAATTACAACAAGTGTAAAAGCCTTACATAGAAAGTGTATTGTAAAAGCCGGGAAAGTACAGGTTAAGAAGAAACGCACATAGGAAGTGAAGAATTCAGATGTTAGCCCATTCGGTAATCTCGCAGGGAGAGTGTGTACAGGAGATTACACCAGTCCAGCAGGATCCGTGTAGTTTTAATACGTCTAAACTATTGGCAACAACAGCCCCGATCTGAAAGGAAATGTTGTTACGTTCGAAGGTTAATGTGCTTCTAACAAAAACAGATCATCTAGTACAGTAAGGACTGTCTGGCTACTTGTTACTAACAACTGCCACACAACCTTCTGTCTCTGTGCCCACGCCAGACAGCGCCATTAAATTATATTTTCCTAGGAGCTTAATTAATTGCAATGCCAAACACAAAGGGTTGTGGTATTGGTGTAGGAAGCAGCACCTCATACAAAAATGGACCGACCTTGTGATTTCCTGTCAGTGTCGATCTCTGTGCTTGTATTATTATTCAGCAGAGCTTGTTTAAAGCAGGTTGTTAATTTCCACAGAGCAGGATATGAAACCATCTTGGAGGTCAGTTTATATATAGACTGCATTATGCTTTTATTGTTCTGATAGTGGAGCCCATTCAGCCAGAGCCTTGTGCAGAGGCCCAGGGGACGCTGCTCTTTAGATGGAGTGCTTATCCGAATGGGTTGTGCTTAATTTCGCTGGGAGGAGTGGTGCATTCCCAAATTGAATGAGGATGTGTGTTTCTAATGCATGCATTTTCTTATTAATGTTGCTGCTGTGTACTTTTTATTGATCCAAAACCTAAATGCGCCAAACGTTAGACGCTCCAGTGCTCTGCGCTGAACAGATAGCTAAGTTAGTCTTAGCTGTACAGTAAGCACTTCACTGGAGACTACAACATCCATCACGCTGAGGACAGAGCAGTCCACCTTAAATGGTCTGAAATGTGTTGTGTTCAGGCTGTACAAACATATCGCCTCTCAGCACTAAGCTGCCTGGCCCATCATTGATTTGTGTTTTTATCAGATCACCCAGTGATGATTTCCGAGATGGTACAGATCGTGCACAATTTCATTAGTGGTGTACACCCCTGCATGTTTCCTATAGTTTAATTAAGGAGCAGCCAGCCATATGATCAAATACTTAGGCTGATTACGAAATTGGGAGTACAGAGGATTTGAAAATAGATCCATACTTGGTTTTTCAGTGCTGGAGTCACTGGTACAGTGTCTCTGACAGAAAGTCCAGGCTGTTCAATTCACAGAACACAAGAATGGTATCTTAGGTCACTTTTCTCACAGTGTCCAAAGCAGATACTTGACATTTCACCAGTCAGTTAGGAATCCACGTACTCTAGCAGGATTCCACATAATGTCATTCGTCCGCAGATTCAGTTATGCCTGGGTAGTCCAGCTCTGGTCCTGAGGTGCCAGTGCAGGTTTTCATTCCCACTTAGCCTTTAACCCTGTGATACAGCCCTCGAACAAAGAGATCTGAAGTCACAAGTCGTGCAGAAGCATTGAATTCTTCAAGAAAATGTATCGGATTGACCAGGCCTACAAGCAAGGATTAATGACCTAAATCATCTTGGTACTGACTTTAATCTGGCCAGCTGCTCGCAACTGTTCAGGTGCTGTTGATCGACAGAGTCCTAGAGATCCTGCAGTCACACCAGTCCCTCAGCTCTTCAGAGTTGGGTCACTTCCTGGTTGCTGTTTTCTCCAGGACTACAGAACCCAGCATGCACTGCACAGTGATTGCAGTCACACTGCTGTCTCGGGGAGATATCTAGACTCAACCTGACAAAAAAGCAGAGAGTGCATGCTGGAATGTAAACTCCTGGGTGGTACGCAGCAGGAGAGGAGCTGACATGATGGTTCGGCACTCCTGTTACCTTGGTTACCGAGCCAGTTTCTATAAAAACACAGCGCGCGGATGCGCACACCGTCTCAGGGAGATCATATCTTTCAAAGCCCCTGTGAGATGAGGTTAGAATGGTCTGTAATTAATTTTAATACAGGGTGTGCAGGAAGCACAGAACTGTGGTACATTATATTGCCAGGATGAAGGCTGCAGGCACATGTTCAGAGATTGGAACAGCAGTGTGTTGAGATAGAAGGGTGTTTTAGAAGGAGTTAAGAAGTGTTTATAGGCCTGTGATTTGCAGGAGTAACTCTGCCATTGGTGTCTGTATATTTAATGCAATTACAAGTGAAGTGAGATCTAATTTCATCTGGAGTTAAATGAACTGTAAGTCACAATGTATTCAGGGGCTGTTTATATGACTTGTCCCATTCCCCACGAATTAAACACAAATAGACCCTTATTCAAAATGTTCACCCACTAAGAATATTTCTACCTTTAACAAGAACGCAGAGCTCAGTGAAAGTGCTTCCAGATTGATAGATTTAGTGCTTTTGGCAATTAAGTTCCCTGCCACTTAATAATGAATTTTAAATTCATAATTAAAAATGGCCAGCTACAGTATGTCTGTGGATACTGTATCTACACCCATGTGCGGCTTTCAGACCACAGACAGAACAAGACAACTTGTGAACACTGAGCGCTGGCCCGAGCTCTGTGATTAGAGTATGTTTGTGTACTCAAGTGGGGAAGAAGACCAGCAGGTGCTTGACAACCTCGAGCGGAGTCTCCGCTCGGCTGTGCGTGGGGAGTCTGCATGTCCACATGCCGTCAAGCAGGGTGTTGCTGCCCCCGGTGCGGCCCTGCTCTGCGGCCGGCTGCCTGCTGTTGCACACACTATCCACCTCCAGCCCAGTCGTCTTTCCACAAGAGCTTCCTGATGAAGCAGTGCTGGAATGGGCGGAGTTCTCCGAAGTCGTGACGAAAAACAGGCAGGCCTGAGCTGGGAGTATCAAGGCCCATATCCTTTACAATGTGCAGGGCCGTGCATTGTGGCCTGCAGGTTCTGTCAGGGGTCAGGGGGCTGTTCAGGGGGACAAAGCCTAACTCCCCCCCCCAGGTTCGAAGTGTGTAAAATCAACACGAGACAGATGTGCTCCACAAGTGTTAACAGCAGGTCTGATGCTGTGCATTTTCGGGTTTTGATTTCTAGCTAATAATAACTACTTGTACTTGTAGGCTTCAGTTAGAGTTGAGTATGAAATGTTTGTCTGAAATAGTCAGCACGTTCACTATAGGAATGTTACTGTCATTCCTTTTTGTTTTTGTTTTCAAGCCACCCAGAAGAATTCACTCAAGAGTTTTGTTTTCCCAACCAGCCAGTTTGGCACTAGTACTGATAAGTGCATATAAAAGAGGCAGTGTAGGTGGACGAAAGCAGTTGTGTATTCCCAAATGAAATGCCCTTTAATGGCAATAATGCACAGGAAAAGGAATGTGAAACCAATATTTCCTGATGCCCGAGCCAACAGGTGTCACCTGATAGACGAGATTTTATGACCATTGTTTCCTCAGTAGACGAGAACATTTGTTCTCCAAACTGTTCTGTTTTTACCCAAATACCCTTTTTTTTCAAATTTCAGGGTTATATTGCAATACAAGAAAAACACAATTCTGAAGTTGTTCTAGTTTTCATATTTACTGCATAACGGAACGAATACAATTTAAACATCCACTTACATTTATGAAGCATGAACCTTTAGAAGTTTACAATACACCCAATTATTAGAAAATGCACAAATATATCTGTCACATTTGCGCACCGTAAACCGCAAAATTAATGCAACCATGTTTCATTTTCTTATGTTTGCTACAGGGCAGCTATAAGATGTGTCTGTGGTCTTTCTGAGTTTTTTTCATAGTGCGCTTTTAAATTCAAATTCATGTTAAAAATTATTCAGTGAATGCAAACGTAACCGGTTCTTCCACATCACACTGTAAAGAAATAGAAAAACTACCAACAGAGAATGGGACAAGGCAAGGCGGCCTTTTGAATATTTCACAACTTAGGGTGTGTTAGTTGTGTAAGTAAATAGCTGTAATTCCACGATGAATGACATTTTTAAAGTTTTCTGGAGAGCAACAAAATGTAATGGAACAGAACTCCTGAAATTCCACCTTTTACATTTGTATCATCGCACCTTGGCTGTAATGTAACATGTTTAAAGTGCGGAAATTGTTACCGGTTATGAGCCTCAATAACCTCAATCAAGACTGAGGTTTCTAAGGATTGTGCCAACAGTGTGATCACCTGTGGGTATTATTGTTGTGTCTGGAAGTGTAAGTTCATAAATGGATTACTGGGTATGACATCTGATTACAGCCTTTTACCTAGACTTTCACCAATACAACATGTCTGAGAGGTTGGGCCAAAATCCCCTGTGAGTCGTGTATTTCAGGGCGTCCCAGACCAAACCCACATGTCACCTTTGTTCACTGAAAAATGTCTCAAATTTCACTTTGAAAGTTGTAGGTAAATAATGTCAAATTTAATATTTCTTATTCAAATCCTTTCAAATTGTAATCCGTTGCAGTTTGAAGGAAGCGTAATTTCTCACTGTAGTAGCGCTTAATTTGAAATCTTCTAATGTGCCACAGAAAGCTGAGGACAATAAACGTATGTTGGAAGCAGAAGATGTTTGGGAAGCCCTGATCTATTAGATAAGAATGAAGACAGGTTTTCTTGTTGCCCTGCTTGAGGTTGTAGTTTTAAACTCGTTTTTGTAATGATTAAATTTCACGTACTATCCTTATCTCAATTTGTTACAGCTAATTTTCTCATCCAGTTCTGTCCCCTGTGGAGATCTCCCGGGCAGCAACCATGACAAACCAGCTGCAGAAAATGGTGGCGGAGAAGAAGGACGTGGTGGAGACGGTGATGGAGGTCTTCGAGCAAGGCGCCGAGGTGGTGGCCAGCATGGCAGGGGACCTCTTCCCCATCTTCCAGATCGCCGCGCCCATCGTCAAGCTGGCCCTGGACAACGTGGAGAGCGAGGAGGCGGCGTACATGAAGGAGCAGTTCCAGAAGGTGAGGGAGCGGCTGGAGGTCCTCTCGGAGGAGATCAAGCGCATCAACGAGGAGATCAAGAAGAGCCAGGTGGACGCGGAGTACTTCTCCGTGGAGGAGAACCTGACCAACCAGTTCCGCAAGTACATGGACATCCTGAACGCCAAGCCCAAGTTCAAGGAGGTCAAGAAGAAGCTCTTCCTGGAGCACTTCAGCAAGACGGGGGGCGACAAGAACCTCCACACTCTGTACAACGCCGTGACGGGGGACAACTTCTCCGGGGAGTCAATCCTGGAGATCACGCTCAACTACGAGGAGAAGAGCCGGCGTCCCATGGAGGAGTTCTGCGCCCGGCTGAAGAAGTTGTTTTGCGTGGGCCTGATCGCCCTGATGGGGCACGCCGCCCTCAAGGGAGACGACGAGGAAGCTCTGCTGAAGGACTGGGGGGAGAAGATGAAGGCGGTGCAGGGGAAGATGAACGCCGTCATCGAGGACTGCATCAGCAGCTTCCCCGAGCAGGCCAAGATGGACGCCCGCAAACTGGTGAGGGACAGGGAAGCCAGAACGAACCAGCAGCTGGCCGACCACCTGGTGGACTTCCTCAAGAAGAAGTACGACTGGGTCAGCTGGTCCGTGCGGGTCTTCAACTCCCCCTCGGGCGTGTTCAGCAACATGTTTTCCAAGGAGTACCAGTGCTGCACCGGGAGGAGCCGGTTCCAGTTGCCGGAAGGCGACAGCAAGTTCAACGTGGTGGTTTCCTACAGCGCCTCGCCGGAGCCCGTCGACAAGAGCGACATCCAGCAGCTGATCGAGCAGCAGAAGAAGGCCAGCGTGGTGTCGGTGGCCGAGCTGCTCTTCGACCGGCTGCCCGCCTGCGTCGTCCACGCCGTCAAGCCGACCAAAGACCTCGGCGTCTCCTGGAGCTTCTCCGAGGAGCTGCACTACTGGGAGCAACACAAGAACTTCGCCGTCTGCGTGCACTCGGCATAGTTGGGGGGGCGCACTGAGCCAGAGGAGGCTGAAACAGACAAACACCGCATGTGCCTTAAGGATCAAATCATAAGGAAAACCTGTCGAATCGGGTGATTGGGTAATAGAACTAAAAATCAACTTAGGAACACCTCCCTCAAGTGCTTGAAATTGTAAACCCCTTTGCCCAGTGAAACGACTGTTTAAAAAATCTGTGCCACTACACAGCAGTTTTACTGTCTAATTGGCTGCTTCAGGAATGCATTAGATTGTGTTGCAGATCTTTTCAAACTTAAACGAGCAGTACGATACATTTGTGTTGAACTGACACTGCAAATTGCCGTATTTTAGGGGATCACATCCACGGGACAAACAGAGCTGAACAATGCTGCTTGTCGTTCCCTCCAGTCAGGAATTGCAGCTTTATAAAATGAATCCAGATGTTCAAGAAAGGACTTGCCCAGACATGATCAGGCACATCTGGCAGGTAGCCACACACTCAGTGTTTTACCAGGAAAAATTCCCTGTTTAGTCAGATGCGTCACAGTAACCACAGTGATGTGCATCTGTTGTGTTGTGAAACAGAGGCGAAAGATAGCTCACCTTCTGCTCGCTGAATCCCTTTGAACTGTTGGGTTGAAAATACCTGCTGCCAGGGCTTGGCAGTTACTGTCTATTGCCCTTGCAGTAAAAATGATCAATTGCCTTTGATTTGTAAGGCAAGCGTTATCAGTGTCATGACCTCTCCTGGATTATTTCAAGATACAGTTCATTGCTTTACTTTATTGCACTGTGGGTGCTGTGTGGCAAGGCATAATTACAGTAGGAAACCTCAGTGTAGACAGAGGTTTATTCACTTTGCTCAGTAAGCTTTCTGTGAGGCTGAAAATGGAGAACATTAACACAACAAATCTGAGCCCCAAAACCTTTCCATTCCTGAATTGTATCATATGGGGCTGCAGAGTCTCTCTCTTGGGATTCATGTTGCAGCAGTGGCCTCTAATCCTTGGCCTTGCTTTGAGTTTTATCTGTAGGAAACACACCAGATGAAAATCACATGCAGGAATCTGTAACATTAGATCAAGACACTGTGCTGCAGCTGGGTAGCTGATTCCATTTGAGATGCACACAGTGGTTCACCAAGACAGAAGTTTCCTGGTTTCTAGGTGTGAAGCAATCAGAGAGCACATGACTCCCCCCTGGACAGGATGCCAGTCCATCACAGGAGCAGCAATGCTGGTTCCTATTTATACTACTGGGTGGACTGGAGCCACTGGGCTGTGTGTCTCAAGGAGAGACTCAAACCCATCAGTTATGAATGTAGAAACATACCCACTGTGCTGCTCTGCCCCCTAAATGCTGCAGCTGCAGGGATGCAAAAAAGGTGATAATTTGTCCTATTTCTGGCTTTAAAAACAGCAGGCTCTTGTGTATAAGCTACTGTAACATGGGGTTGTGGGTTCCTTCATGCTTCTTACTCATCTCTAATTAATAGACATGTAAATTTAAACTGACAATAAACATTTTACAGTTGAGGAAATTAAAGAATTCAGTCTGCCACAGTCTTATCTGTTTCGTCTCTGAAATTCATAAACTGAAAGGTGATAGGGAATCAATGAGGATTATTTCCAAATTCCAAACTGTAAGTGAATTGATACTACTGTGTGTTGTATTGTGTAGTGTATTGTAAGAATACAAAGTGTTTCTAGGGTCATATCATGGAACTGCAAATCTGTCTATACGTGGCGCTGGTGTGAGTGAAGAGAGAAGTTCATGGCTGTTGTTCTAAAGATTTTAATGGAAAAGCAGTCTGTGTCTCCAGACGGAGATGAAGCTGAGGGTTATTGCTTGTGGTTCAGCCTGTATTGTTGAAAGTTGCTTCAGATTACAAAACTAGAAGTAATAGTTATTTTTATACAGTAGTAATATGTTATCATTTCATGAATGGGGAGAAATAATGTAATATGGCACTATTGCTCAAATATTTTTTTTCTGTTTCTATTTTTATACTCATGTCATTTAGAATCACCAAACATTTCTTAACATCTTGGCTCTCAGACACTACTCTTGTGCTGCACAGGGAGAATGAGGAAGAGTAGACAGGCTCCTCTGTGTCACGATTATAGTCCCCCCCTCCTTAAGGGTGCTCCAGCCCTTCACTTTAGACTTATTCTGTGCACCTGATCCGTTTTCCCAGCTCATCCTGGCTCTGCATCTGGTTTCCGCACTGTGCGAGTCCGGGACCTGGAAGCGCCTGGTCCCGTTAAGGTTTTAATCTCTGTTCCCGTTCCTTGTCCGCCGGTTCTGACCCGGTTCGTGTTTTTAATTCCTGTTTGGATGGATCACCTGGCTATGGACTTATTCTTGTGTTTTGGATTCGCTCTGTGGATAACTTTTGGATTGTTTGCCTCGGCCACACCTCCCCTGTGCACCAGCGCACTTTGGACACGCCCCCCTGTTTTCAGCCCCGTATTCCTGCATGACGTTTTCTTAGTGTTTCCCCACTTCTTCGGATTGTGTCGTCCGCATAGGGTCCGAAAAGAACTGTTCGTTACACTCGCTTGCCCCACCCTTACAGCTGCGGATCTTTTTGACATTCTGCGAGCCCCACAGCACCTGACAGGAGAGTTAGCACCCAATTGGAGGAGTGGTGTGTCTCTCAGTGACATCACTGAAAGCCTATACACCGGAAGTAGATCACTGAGAGCCAGAGGAGCTCTTGAGGTTGTCCACCACCATTTGGGGAATCCCAATCACAGTTGGCTAGTAACATGGCCCAGGCTTGAGCTTAAGACATGATTTTAATGAGTGACAACGCAAAAAGCAATCTTATATTTAGGTTCAGTTTTTCTCATTGTGAGAAAATCAGCTTGTCTCCTTGCCAGTCTGCACGATAGTAGCACAATGTTTGAATATTATCAGACTCGGAGGAATCAGATGTACTCTTTGATTTATTCACAGTCGACAGTATTAAGATGCTGCTCCTTAACAAGCACTGAAAGAAGTGAAAAGAGCACAGTGTTTGACTGTCCCATTGTTTGTCCCTTCTATTGAAGACAGACTGAAGGGCTTTCTGTAAAGAGATGAACAGACTCCAGTGAGTACAGTACACTGTCCCGCTACTTCAATCAAGGCCTTTGTTCAGCATGTTTACCGCTGTCTCGGTCTCAAAGCTTTCATGATGAATCCATGTGGCAGGGAGCCCTTTAGAGAAGAACGGTTTTTCAAAGACAGTTATCATCTTTTTGGAGGAAAGCCTGAGTCACCATCCTTGATTGTAACACAGTCAAAGCATATGGCACAAAATGGGGAACCAGCCATTGTAGATACACAGTGATCAGTGTATCGGGCAACTTAAAACGACCGTTGTACGTCCCATGCCCGTAAACATCATACAGTGCACATTCCTACTGTCATACCTTTTGGGGTAAAACTCTCAGACTAGGCAGCAGACAAGGGGTCATGTGCACTTTTAAATTCATCACCTGGCTTAGAGTGATGGTTCATTCTGTATACCTCTCACAGTTCTAGTGGCCAGACAGTGTACATGAGAAGCTATTTCAAGAAACAGAAATATTTCTGTAGATCAGTACCAGACATTATAGTTTAAGATCATAATAAATGAGATTATGAGTCTTTTCAATCTTTTTTTTCCTGAATGTTTCTGTTTCTACTGAATTTTTCAAGGAATGCTGCCAGATACATGTGGAACTTTCACTGCCGCGTAACTCAGTATATTTCTAACACCCCCCTTAATCCTGACGATTAAAAGGTGTTGCAATCTAATTTGCTCCAGTGGGAAACAGTCTTGATTTTGTAGCTCTAAATAAAATCCGTTGACAATCACATGTTCTACTGGAAAAATCGATTCATTTTATGTGCCAATACTGGCTCTTGTTGCTAACTCTTAATTGTTTGGAGAATATTTTGTCCTGACACAGGAAGTCGTTGATAGATCGCACTCCAAATCCAGAGAAACACCCACAGTGTTTTCCAGTTGATTCTGTTTGGGAGTGAATTTCCAAAATCTGATTCTGGAGAAGCTGTTTCATCGCCTTAATCTTGGCAAATTTAGATTACACTCAAGTCACCTCTTCCTGTCGTTCACCCTCAGAAGAGGCTTCTTCTTGGTGTCCACATTCATGCGGACAAAGGCAAATCCTAGATTCAGCCCTTTATATCCTAAAGACGCCAGTTTGTGGAGGAGATCTCCAGCTGTTGCCTTTGGCCTTACGGTCGCCCCCCAAACCACTTGTTTCACAAGATGCTCTTGCATCCTCTTCCTAGCAGGATGGCCCCAATAACCATAACCTTTGAGTTCTAAAAAATGGACACACCAGTGGAAAGTGGTAAATTGAGCTTCTTGGGGATTTATTTTATGGCCACACCCCAGCTTGTGGACCATTTACTGTACCTGCAGTCTTAGCAGAGCTCTCTGGCCTTAAACATGACAATACCCACCACTGAGATGCTGCTGACCTCCTTTCATACTTCGGCTAAACCTGCTCTGGCCTCCACATTAACAGATGTTCTTCCAAAGAGCAGAATGTTATTACAGATTTGTATTTGTTGGATACATTTTTAGATGGTGTGACTAAATCTGACCCTTATATTCTCTGGAATTCAGTTGTTCCATACTTTGCTGGTACAATAACAGTATAACATTTTTAGTATTTTAAGCACAACATGTTATCTAACAAGTAATTTAGTTGTATAAAGTTTGCTTTTCCTGCTTCATTGGGTGGGTATGAAAACATCTGTACTTGTAAAAGCTTTAAACATGCTCCCTCTGACTTGAATAATGAAAATATGTTCTTCAAAAGCCACATTCTACATTACTAGTGTTTTATACTTTTTACCACTGTGGAGGTAGATCACCCTCTGATAATCATCAGATCAATGGCCAACAAATTTTCAGACACTCAAAAATTCTGAGCCACGGGACATTTTCATCATGCGTTATTCCCCTTCAAATAACTCTGCAGAAATCTGAAACGAAATAACACATCAAATTGAAATGGAACTGTTTTTGATGTACCCAACCAATTTAGAACTCCCAGTTGTTTTAAGATTCTTCTACCATTAGGAGAGATGCCTCTCCAGTGCACTTTCCTGCAGTGCCCCTGGTCACTTCACATGACACACTGCAGGCTCTACACAGCCCCGAGTGCAGGATGTCACCACAATCCTGCGGAAACCAGGAAGCCAAGACTGCCCTGAATGACTAATCCCAACCCAACACTACCACTGCTCAGCCTACTGGGCGGCTTGGTCACAGTCCGCTAGTGACATGATTTAGCATCTGGATCAGAGTGGAAGATGAGCTAACATCTGGATCAATTTGCACTGTGATTGAGCATCTTCAGTTGATGAGCCGCTCCAGAGCTTTGTAGGTGGGCTGGTTGAGTGCACTATACATGGACTGCAGGTACAGTAGCTCATAGAAATGCTCCTTTCTGTCTTTGTCTTTCTGCCTTGTCTCTACTGGTTTTTGGTCCAGTTGAGCTCTTAATCATCTGTGCTAAGTGGCGCCACTAACTGATCTGCTTGCTTGTTTAGACTTTTTGACTGCATTCAGTCCGTACTTATAAAATGTCCCAGTTAATGTGCATTGTTTCCAGCAACTGCTGCACACAGATATTTATGCTGTCTCCCTTTAACTGCCCTACTGCTTCAAGGCCTTTCTTCAACATGTCTATCTTGGTCTCAAAGCTTTCGTGATGGATCTTGTTTATCACAGATATCTGGCTAAATGGCTCTTTATAGGTGATCAGCTGGTGTTGAAGACACACAGGTGGGAAGGACACTGTCAGACCTGCCCACAGTGAGACAGTGTGTTTTCTTCTGCTTCAGTCCAGTTGGATATATGTCAGCTCACACTCCTGAATGATGGCAGTCCATTAGTGGACTGTTATTTAGTAGGACATACCTTATGATTAAACCACACTTAAGACCAGCTTTTCTTTCCTCCTAGAAGACACGTCAGAGGGCATCCATTCAGCTCTGACTGCCCCTGACTTCAGTGTCTCAGACTCTGAGCAAACACACTCAGTTCTTTTGGAAAATGTCCTCATAGATTCTCTGATTGAGAGAACATGAGCTAAGTTTTGGAAAAAAAATTTCAGGAGATCCAACGAAATCATTACCACATTCTCAGCCCTACCTAGGGTTGGGTTTCTGGAAAGAAGTAAACGACTTAATCAACATGGCTTAGGTATTGTAGCTTGTTCCTAACCAAACAGCAATTTAGGTAATGAAGTGCCTCCATGTTCTCAAATTTAAATGCACTTCTGTAGTTTCCATCTCTATCCATTCATTTTCTAACTGCTTGATCTAATGCAGGATCAAGGGGAGCCAGAGTCTGTTCCAGCAAGCGAGGCAGGATACACCCCGGACAGGACGCCAGTCCATTGCAGGGCAGACAGACACACACACACTCATCAGGGCCAGTTTTCCCAGAAGGCAACCCCTCAGCACGTCTTTGACCTTTGGTGGACACGTAGACTTGGGGAGACCATGCAAACTCCACACAGACAGTATCCCAGGAGGTAGCGGCAAGGCG